GAGGGGGCGGGTCTAACGGAGGGGGCGGGTCTAACGGAGGGGGCGGGTCTAACGGAGGGGGCGGGTCTAACGGAGGGGGCGGGTCTAACGGCTGCGCCGGCGGCAGCGGACGCGGGAAGGGGAAGGAGCGGCTCTGCCGAACGCGGCTGGGGATTGGTGGAGAGCGCGCGCGGAGGAGCCAATGGGAGAAGAGAAGAGGAAAGGGCGGGGCCAAGGTGGCCGTGAGGGGCGGGCACGCGCCCCGGCCCCGCCCCACCGCTCCTAGTTTGATAATTAGGGGAAATTCCCCGAAGTAGAGAGAAGTGCACGTCCTGATCCCTTAGAGCTCCTTTCGGAGCAAGAAAATCGCTGTGATAGAACAGCTGAAGGAAGGAATATAAGCTAGGGGGAAAAAAAAAAGAAGATGAAAACAAATCAAAACGATGTGAGGCTCGGCTCTAACCAAGTTAGAGCCAGAATCATTGGTATACTTCTCTCTTAAGGGAGTTTCTGGAAGTTTATAGGTAAATTCTCATTGAACTGATAGATGTGGGTGCAAGATTTAAATAATGAAGAATTATTCCAAGTCGTTTAGCAACAAGTAACATATGAAAAAAACCAAAACATCCCCGCACCCCAATCCCATCCTTTAGTTTGAAGATACACAGATCAGCACTTCATCATATTCATAAAATACATCACACTCATAAAACTCGTGGGAAAATCAAGCCTTGCAGGTGGGTGGTCACAAAATCAGAGAATCAATTGGGTTGGAAAAGACCTCCTCGATTCCAACCTGTGACCCATCACCTCGAGGTCAGCTAGACCAGGGCACCAAGCGCCAAATCCATTCTTTCCTTAAACGCCTCCAGGGGTGGTGACTGCACCACCTGCCTGGGCAGCCCATTCCAATGTCTGATCAACTTTTCTGTGAAGAAATTCCCCTGATGTCCAACCTGAACCTCCCCTGGTGCAGTTTAAGACTGTCCACTCCTTCTGTGTAGTCCCTTGGGGCCTCCCTGTGCTGCTGGCACAGACCGTGTCCTGTGTCCCCTCAGGGACACCCAGGATGAAACCAGGCTGGCAGCCAGGCACAGGGAGCTGCTGATGCGCTGTGTGCGGGCTGAATCCATCACATCTTTGTTCTCCACTCTGGCTTCCAGCTTGTGTTAAACCTGCTGTGGCAATCCCTGAAAACACGGATCATCAAGGACAGTGCCTCAGGCTCCACACTCACAAACACACACTTGTGTTTATCGCTGGCATATCAGTATTCTGCATATCCTCACTTTTATTAGCTGAATAATAGACTTTCTGAACACACAGCATTGAAAACAATTACATTGACTCAGGCTGAAAACTGTGCTATTAAGAGTACTATAGCAGAATTATATATATATAGACAAACATCTCTGGTCTCCCAATGTGTAAATTATGTTGTTATTAGTGTGTTAACATTTATGCTGAAACTATGCTGAACTCAAAATAAAAATATATTGTGAAGATATTTATCATCTTGTCAGAAATAACTCCAAAAAAAACAGTAACCCAGAAGGGTTTTCTCCCAGAAATTTGGAGACTGCTTCAATTCTTCTCTTTGAAAAGTTTATAACAAGAAGATCACCACAATAGAACAGCTGAAGGAAGGAATATAAGCTAGGAAAAAAAAAAAAGATTAAAACAGCTCAAAAAGATGTGTGGCAACTACAAAATTAGAGCCAGAGCCCTTGGTATACTTTTCTCTTAAGGGAGCTTCTGGAATTTTATGGGTAAATTCTCATTGAACTGATAGATGTGGATGCAGTATTTAAGTAAGGAAGAATTATTCCAAATCGTTTAGCAACAAGTAACATATAAAAAAACCCAATCACCTCACCCCAATCCCATCCTTTGGTTTGAAGACACACTGATCAGCACTTCATTCTTTTGCATCAAAAGGAAAATATGTACAGAAGGCCATTGAGCTCAGTTCTTGCCAACTGAACCATTTTGAAGCTATGGATGAAACAGCAAGATTGTCTTATAAATAATTTTTTAAAATGTGGAAAATCACTGAATACCTCTGGACCTCTCTGGTTATGGTGAAACTGTGATTAAAAAAAAATAAAAATTATTCCATGTCTTACATACTGAAATGCTTCAATGTCATGTGCTGAGTTCATACATAGTAATGACATATTGTTACTCATACTCATCATCGAGATATGTTTCAGAGAGAAAATTCAATGAAACCATTTTTATCTTTTTTTCCAGTTTGTCAGAAAACTAGCATTCCCAAAATGTTTCCAGCACATGACTTTGGATATGGTTGAGGCCTTTGGGAAAGCAAACTGACAATCTTCCTGGTTTCAACAGTGGTGCAGAAATAATGCTTAAGTCGACTGGAAAAAAACATAAAAAAGCTGGTAAAAAGGCTGGCAAATGTGACATAAATAAAAGTATAGTATATGTGGAAGAAAAGACTCAAATAATTAACAAAGGAAAAGCTGTCTGAATTATGAATAATGAATATATACATATATGTGGTTGCATTTCAGTCTTAATGCTTGAGGTGCTGTCCATATTGCATCATGCATCACCAAAAATAACAAAAAGCTTATTCTTACCCTAAACTGTTTACAGTGAGTTGAAATACCAGAGTCTTACAGCAAACTGTATACATGACTGATGTGCTTAATAATGAAGAAATAAATATATGTAGAACAGATTTCAGGGATCAGAGATTTTTGAGGGGACAATTCTTAGATAAAGTAAAACAAAGCTCTTTTGTTTCAGGAAGGAAAACAAAGAAAATGAAGCTAAAGATGAGAGAAGACACTTATCAATCAATCCAGTTTCATTAGAAAATGGGGCTTTTCCAGTACCTACCTAGGAAAACCAAGGCATATTAGCATTCAGTGTAAGTTCCAAAAGCCTCTTGCTACCAGTACCAAGAAGTTCTAGTGATCTAATTAAGTACTAACCTAAGCATGATCAAGCAATAGCACAAACTAATATAAAGTTTTCCTCTGAATGGATTACAACCAAAAGTTTGCTGGACTTAACAAGGGAGCACTTCAAGAAATGAGCTTTTTGTGAGATCAACAGGCCAGGAATATGTTTATTACTTTGAGACTAGTTTGATAATTGCCCAAATCCCTGTAAGTGTCTAATTAGGGAATAAAGCTACAACTTGAATATTGGAAAGCAAACTAATAGCTCTTTTGTCTATCTGCCTTGTCTTTCAGTCTACAGCTGGCCAACAGAAAAGGGGAGGTGAATAGCAATGAATATGTAGTTAATAATGCAACCTGCGGAAAACACGTGCTTCAGAAACAGGTATGTCAAAATCATGCTTAAGGGATGTCATATCAATTAAAATGGATATTATGGACCCTAGAACTGTAGTGCAATTGTAAAAGAGGTTTCAAAATGATCTACATTAGATTTTCAATGTTTCAGTCCAAGACATGCTTTAGTTCAATGACACATAGTGAAAGGTGTCGCAGGACTCGCTGCATGGTCTGTGTGGTTCAGAAAGCCTGTCATCGAATTCTGATTTTCTGATATATTTGGAATCAACGTATCTACAAGCCATGAATTTCTTCTTCCTGTTTTGTAAATATAGCGGGAATAAAAAATAACTTGGTTTTGGTCTGTCTGCTCACATGTAAGTGAAGGATCTTATGTAAAGCACATTAATTGCTCCTCACCTTGAGAAGTTCTCACAAGAACGAGATCGTGAGGGTTTTGACTTGCAGGAGACATACTAAGACTAAAGCTGTTTTGACCTTTCTGAGCTGGTGACAGTGTAAGTAACACCCCGGCGTGCTCAGACGGTGGGTGACGCTGTGCTGACAAAGGAGTGGTGCGGGAGGTTTGATTGCCACAAGATGGAGCCACGAGAACAGTAAATAATTCTCACTGCATGAAAACCAAATGGGGCTTCTTGTTCCCGTACGATAAATCCAGGCACATTTTTGCTTAAATAACACTAAGAGAATCCCAGTGATATTTTACAGAATCTTTGTCAAAACTTGGCTTTTCAGGCAATCCTACTGACAGGAATAATGTTTTGTTAGGGAAAGCGCATGTATGAAAATAGTAATTTTTTTGGCTAAAGCACTATTTATTTACTTCTCTACTAAATATAAAATCTACTGTGACATCAAAATTACCTTTAAAACCACATAAACAATTTTCAAAGTATGCAAGTTTAGTAGCAGATCTAGAATCTGATGGCTTTAGAGGGAGAAACAAACTCTAACAACAGATGATTTTCTCAAATACTCATGTTCATTCTGTGTTAGAAAAAGAAATGAAGCAATAGAAGAACAGCAAATAAAATACCTAAACAGAATTGTCCCTAAATAGAGCGTTTGTCCAAATTTCCTATGAGGCAGATTTTGGAAGCAGTACTACGATGAGTGTTGAAGTCAAGGGTCAATGAAGTTTGTCCTACCAAGGTTAAATCCTGTAACACTTGTTGTTTTAGGAACAGATTCATTGATAAGTAAGTTATGATACCTAAGAGACTTAAAAATAATATAGTTCTCTTGCAAAAAGCCAATAGAGCTTTAACCACAAATTTCTTCTTGAAGCTTTAACTTCCATTTGAACTGTACCAGCTCCTTCAGATTATCTCAGGGGATCCCTTCCAAGCTAAATAGTTCTGTGATTCTGATTCAGAACTTTTTTCTTCCACTTTTTTTTCTCTACATCCACTTTTGATTACCTCAGTGTAATCTGTTGCCTTGCTCACATCCATGGCCTAACCTCATCTGAATTAAAGTTATCAGCTGGAAAATAAAGCTGGCTATACCAGTATAATAACAGTGCCATAACCAGGGCTCTGTTAATTCTCCACATGATCCCACATAAGAATTATGCAACTAAGTAGTCTTCAGGATGTAAACCTTTGCCCAACTCTGGTAATTAGGATGAGCGAGAGGTCCTTTCCTAAGATCTGCAGTGAAT